TATACCAAGACAGCAGGGAATTAAGCAGTGAGCCTAAAAGGAAAAATCAGAAAAGGCAAAACACATAAGAAGTAGAATACTTCTCTTATACAGAGTTTGCACCTGATTCAATTATGTTCACAGCCAAAAAGCAATCTCTTGTTAACTTTATAGTTAATTCTATTAAAGCTGTAGATCTTGCAAATATCCAACATCCTCAACCTTCTGTAACTTCACCCTAATGTCATCTGCCGATTGTCCAATGAAAATCATATTGACCATCCTCTGATTTTCCGCTGCCTCTGGGTCTAGATCAATATATTGGTGGAAGGTCTGGTAAACCCACTCTAGGAATTCCCCTGGACTCTCATCTTTCTTCTGTTGGATTTGGTAGACCTTAGACAGGTTCTTAACCTTTGGAACTCCATGCTTGAGTCCAAGTAGGACTTGGTTTCTATAATTTTTTAATCGTGGCGACTCCGGTTCCCAGTTTGATCCTTGTCAGGATTAGTCCAGTCACCATCATCTGAACAGTCCCTTTCCCTTATCTGGTCCATCTTCCCCTTCTCCCTACAGTACCAGACACTATTTCATTCCAGGGATTTACGGCTGGGGGCCATCGAGACATGGAATGGCCTGGGGACCATTCATCGCCGGCGTCCTCAGTATGAACCAAGGGAGGGGCACTAGGTTTCTTTATCCATACACTCTTCCTTTCCTTACACATAAACACTCAACATCCACTTTTTTACACTCGACATTCACATTCTTCCAGCAGCATAGGACTGTTAGCTAACTTCATAAACAAGCCCAAGTATTGTACCTCGGTATCCCTTTTTCCCTTTTCCAGGACCTTCCTGAGTTCTCCAGTTAAATACATGTCCATGGATCCTTGGGGTGGCCCGAAAACAATGGCCTGTGACAGTTTCTCATGAGGCCATACCGACATACAGTAGTCGGACAGAGCTGTTTTTCTCCCAATTTCACTTCCTCCCAAGTCCTGGAAATTCGCTAAAACGCATCCTATCGGAGTATCCATGAGCAACCGTTGAGCCTCCAGAGCTGACCTCCGGGTCCCCTTGCTCGACCTCCCAGGATGTTGCCCATCCTCTATGGCCTATTTCTCAAGGTGGTTTTCCGGAAAGGGTCTTATTCCCATGGGACACCCCCCCCCACTGTACGGAATCTCACACCCCTTCAACCCCTTGGGAGCATCCTCCGAGTAGCTGTACCTGTAACCTTGAGGGAGCCTCCTGGGTTACTCCGATATTCTTCTCCGTGGACTTCAAGGAGAAGAGAAATTGTTCACACCTCGATTTTCCTTGGGGCTTCGACCTTTGAGTCCAACACTGATCCGAGGGGCGTATTCCGGGGCCAAGTCTGGAGTTGGGCGGCTTTCTCACACCACCACGATGAGACTTTCTCCCATCAATCAGTCCAGCCGCTTCGTCTATCTGGCCGTTTCCCTCGTGGGAGAACAGAACCGCAGATCAAGACTCCACGCTCACTTCGTGTTTCCAAAGGCCCAAGTGGTCTCCTAACACGTCTCGTACATTCCCCAACCAAGTCTCACACTCTCGCAGTTCTCTCTCTCGACCGCTCACTCACCTGACTTGGAGGCCTCCCCATTTGGGACACCTCCTGGGCAGTGATGGATCCAAGCGGAAGATCCCGGATGAGTCCCCAAAACTGTTGTCCCAAATTGGATCTTAGCTTGGTGTCAAAGCCAAAAGACATCCAAACACGAGGTATAGAACACAAGGTTGCTTTTATTAAGGTACCAGAACAAAACGACTCCAACCTATAAAGTGGTCAGAGCCCCGAACACAATTTGGCAACAGGTTTTATACTTCCGCAGCTCCCACCCTGATACAGACCATTCTACTTATTGGCCAGGCTTATAGCAGTTCCCACCCCTTGGCTCCCCTTTAGCTATTTTCTGCCTTATTTGGTTATAGCTCCTGAGCATACATAATCAGCTGCCATACTTAGAACTCTAGTGCTTCTATTCTTACCACCGCGAGCTTCTTCCTGCCCTCGCCAACTAAGCCTCTAGCTATCTGTCACGTATCCTCTTTATTGAAGGCTACGGGCACTCTTGTGCAATTCCAGCTGTGCTAAGCTAACCACAAACAGACCACTTGCCAGCTGCCTAAGCTTCTTAGATTCATTATGTCTCTTCATCATGGGCCCCACAGACACACAGCCCAGTTTCTCCAGAATGGTCATGGTATGGTGTTAATTTTACATATGACCCTTCAATAGCTAAGGGAAAAGTCTCTGTAGTGCCCCCTTCCCCTGGTGCCCGCGACTCATGCTTATTTTGCTTAAGGGTTGATCCAGGGTTGAGGGAGTTGGTTTTTCTTCTAGTTGAAGAATGGATGGAGGGTCCAACCCAGCGGCAGGAAGGATCCTGCGAAAATCAAGCTAAAAGCAGATATCTTCCAGGGTTGCTTATAACAAACCAAGATAGTAAAAATGCAGAGTTATGATGGAACTAAGATTTTATTTATTTTGGGGGTTACAGATTATTATTAATCAATAATAATAATTTTTGTGTGCGTGTGATTCCAATCTCAGTTTGGGGCCAACGCTTCTGATCCTTGTCGGTTTTAGGGGGGCTACATCTGTGGTTTACAGCTGCGAAGAGAGAGGATCTCAGGTCCAGTATGCTGCCAAAATATTGAAGAAAACGGTAAGTTAAATCTCTTATTTTCATCACACATTTTTTTTATTCGTTTTATATCCTGCCTTAATTTGTACGAAGACAAGGCAGCGTAAAGAATGCTCCCTTCTCCTATTTTCCCGACAACCACAACCCTGTGAGGTAGGTGAGGCTGGGGGGGTGTGACTGACCCAAAGTCCCCAAGCCAGCTTTCATGCCTAAGGGAGGACTAGAACTCACAGTCTTTTGCAGTGTTTCTCAACC